CAAACAATTCATACGTGCTAAGAGTCACAAGGGTTGTCTTCAAATCCTACGGGTTGAAGGGTACTCTGTCTCCTGCCATTGGGAGGCTTTCTGAGCTCAAAGAACTGTCCCTCCAAAACAACAAACTCTTTGACAGAATACCAACTGAAATCGTTGACTCGAGGAAATTGGAAATCTTGAACCTTCAAAACAATCAATTTTCTGGCAAAGTCCCACCTGAATTATCATCTCTAGTCCACCTTCGTACCCTTGACCTTGGCTCTAATGAGTTATCTGGGAACCTGAACTTCTTGAAATACTTTCCTAACCTTGAAAAACTCTCCCTTGCTGATAACATGTTTACTGGCAGAATACCTCAATCCTTGAAATCTTTCAGAAATCTCCGGCTCCTCAACATTTCAGGCAATAGTTTCCTTGAAGGTACGGTGCCTGTCGTGAGTCAAGTTGAGCACTTATCAGCAGACTTAAATCGAAAAGATTATGTTCCTAAGCGTTACATTCTTGCTGAGAACGAAAGAAGGCCAAGGCACAGCCCTGCAATGGCACCAGAGTCCAAATCAGGATATGCCCAAGCTCCAGGACCTAGTACAGTTGTAGTACCAGTAAAAAAAGACAAACACAACAAGATCAGAAGGAAGGTAGGCGCCTGGATTCTTGGATTCTTTGCTGGAGTTTTCGCTGGGGGGTTATCGGCGTTGGTCTTCTCCGTCCTCTTCAAGGTGCTTATGTTTTTAATCAGAGGGATCAGAAATGATTCAGGCTTAACAATTTTCAGTCCATTGATTAAGAAAGCCGAGCACTTGGCCTTTCTGGAGAACGAAGATGGATTGGAATCACTAGAACTCATTGGGCAAGGTGGATGTGGAAAAGTTTATAAAGCTGCGTTACCTGGAAGTGACGGAAAGATTATAGCCGTAAAGAAGATCATACAACCACCAAGGGATGCTGCAGAACTCACTGAGGAAGATAGCAAGGCTATGAATAAGAAAATGCGCCAGATTAAATCAGAAATCAAAATTGTAGGTCAAATCAGACACCGGAATTTGCTTCCCCTACTGGCACATATGCCAAGACCAGACTGCCATTACTTGGTCTATGAGTACATGAAAAATGGGAGCTTACAGGATACCCTCCAGCAAGTCAGAGAGGGGACACGGGAACTAGATTGGTCAGCACGTCACCGAATTGCAATGGGAATAGCTGCTGGACTCGAGTATCTCCATATGAATCATACTCAGCGTATAATTCACAGAGATCTAAAGCCAGGCAATGTCCTCCTTGATGATGACATGGAAGCTCGAATTGCGGATTTTGGCCTTGCAAAGGCTGTCCCAGATGCTCATACACATATTACAACTTCAAATGTGGCAGGAACTATAGGATACATCGCTCCAGAATATCATCAGACACTGAAGTTCACTGATAAGTGTGATATATACAGCTTTGGGGTGCTGCTAGGCGTGCTAGTTATGGGAAAGCTTCCATCTGATGAGTTCTTCCAGAACACTTCTGAGATGAGTTTAGTGAAATGGATGAGAAATGTCATGGCTTCTGAGGATCCAAACAGAGCAATTGATCCAAAGCTGATGGGTAATGGAAATGAGGACCAAATGCTTTTGGTTCTCAAGATTGCCTGCTTTTGTACCCTGGAGAATCCTAAGGAGAGGCCTAATAGTAAGGATGTTAGGTGCATGTTGATGCAGATCAAGCATTAAGTATGTAGTGGATAACTTACAGTAAATAAAAGTTTGTCATGAAACTAAGATAGTATTTCTTGTGTATGACGGTCCTTGTGTATTCTGTTACATCTCCAATATGAGAGACTGTCCTTGTGTGTTTTGTTTCCTCTCCAAAATGAGAAGTTTATATTTATTTAGCTGTATGAAAGTTCTTTGCACAAGTTTCCTCTGCTATATTATGATACCTTAAAGCATGGTACGAAATGTGAATCGAATTCTTTCCACCAGATGCAGAAACTACTAATTCTATTGTCTGTACTCTGTAGTTGGAGATGTGAATGGCACTCAGTCCAGTAACTACTAATTCTCCGATATGATCAATATAGAAACACTTGTATTCACAAGCAAGAGAATTGGTCTATAAAACTCTAAGATCATGGAAGATTTTAAACATGAAACAGAAAGCATATCCTTATTCGGTTCATTAGTATGATACAGCAAGCATTCGAAGAGGAAACAGTGTTTTAACCACTAATAGAGTAACAACCAATGAACTTATTTAGGATATCTGGCAAAAAAACCTGATCATCTTGCACGCAGAAGACGCCAATAACATGATTGCTTCTCCAGGTAATAGCTCTAAAGGTGTAGAACCAGAATCCTCCATGCTGTGAGCAATAGCTAAAAGCCAGAATTGTACCAATCATGAATTCAAATTTCCTATATGTTTTACTTCATTCAATGGTCTTAGCAAATATATATATATATATGTAACGGAGATATGTAGCATGCCTCTAAGGGCTAGAAATCTATTTATCTTTTTTTGTGATTTTTTTGAAAAATACAAAAAAATCACCTAAATATTAAAGATAATCACATTTAAATCTTCCTTTATCAATAGTCATATTTAATTTATTTTATCATTAATGTTGTTAGTTTCTTTTCCTTAATATTTCTCAATTTCTTCTTTTTAGCATTTTAATTTCCTCCCTAAATCCAATTATTACACTATTAACTCTCTTTTTTATTTCTCAACTTTTACTCTTTTAATGCTATATTTTAATTTGTAAATATACGTTTACTCAAAACTCTTTTGCCTTTTCTTACATTTTATGTTCTGTTCTTTCTTATTTTAATTTCCTCCCTAAATCCAATTATTATTACACTATTAACTCTCTTTTTTAATCCAAATATTTCTCAATTTTTACTCTTCAAATGCTATATTTTATTTTTGGGAAAATGCATAAGTACCCCCCAGCCTATGCCCAAAATTCCTGAGGCACATCTAACCTTTACCAAGGTCCTATTACCCCCGAACTTATTTTTTAGTTAAGTTTTTACCACTTTTCGGCCTACGTGGCTGAGTCCGTGACTTCACCTATGTTAGGCGAGTGGGTGCAGTTTTTACACAGCACTGACTAATAAAAATTGGCCATGTGTTAAAATAAACTTGAAAAAAATAAATATTAACTCAATTGTCTTCTTCTTTATTATTGTTCTTCATGTTTGGAAAAAAAAAACCTCCATTATCATAAGTTAAATTGCTCCTTTCTTCGAAAAGCTAACAAAATAAAATCAAGAAAAAACTAACCTTTGAACTCAACCACGATTCTTGATGACTTAGAAGTAGGGGTGTACATAGGTCGGTCTGGTTTGGGTTTTCATTAAAAAAAACCTAAACCAATTATGTCGGTTTATTAAATCTAAATACCAAATCAAACCATGCAAAGTCGGTTTTTTTTGTTTCAGTTTTAGTCGGTTCTTTCGGGTTTTTTTCGGTTTTTTACAACTTAACGGTGTTTGAAAAAGAGATCAAATCTATTTTCACCTACCTGTGTGATAAGCTAAACTTAAGAAACGTTAAATGAATAGAAATTTTCGTAAAGACGGTAAAATTCACATGAGTACAAATTATTTTTTTTTGAAATATCAACGTTCATTATGTTAAATTAATAAGATTAAAGGATACAGTCAAACTGAATACAAAACGAAATATTTACAAAGTAAATTGTTAAATTCAAATTTGAAAACTATAACAATATAATTGTAACTTCGGATCTTAATACAAAATAAAATATTTACAAATTTTGCAAGCCCAAATTTGAAATAACATATATAAACATTGAAAACTATAAACTAGCTAAAATATATTGACAAAGTAGATTATAAGTAATATTTTTTTAATCTAAAAATTATATATATATAATATTTACAAAATTTTACAAACCCAAATTTGAAATAAAATATATAAACATTAAAAACTATAAACTAACTAAAAATATATTAACAAAGTAGATTATAAATAATATTTTTTATCTATAAATAAAATTAAATTATATATATAATATTTACAAAATTTTACAAGCCCAAATTTGAAATTTTTTTCAAGATTGGGACTTTCTTGAATATTATATATTATATTTATTATATAGTAGAACTTATATTTACAAATCATTTGTTATAATCTTTAAATAACATACTAAAATCTACATGATAATTTTTTTAAGTCCCTTAAATTGTCAATCATTATTATAATTTTGGCTTAGAGTTTATTTACTTTTTTTTTTTTTTTCAATTTTTCTTATTTCTCTATTTTTATTATAGAATAATAAATATGTCAATTAACCGTTTATCATATTCTTTAAAAATGTAAAATTTGATGGTCCTTCTTTTCATTACTCCCCATAATTCTTTATCATAATAACCGCTAAAATAATTAATAGTCGTGACATTATTTTGGTATTCATATTGTAGTAAACCTTTTAACTTATTATATTTTTGATACGTACTTCTTATATTTATGTTTTAATTTGACTTGATTAATAAAATGAAGATTATTGAATGACGATCAGCTTATGGAAATAAATGTTGACAAGAACTCAAAAAATTGTGCATTAATTTCATATTTTTTCTTTATTTTTTAATGATTAAGATTATTATATATTCTCTCTATAATTTTCTTTGTATATACAAATTTTTTATTGTTGCAAGTTTATAATTTCTTTTGATTCAAAATGACAACTTATGAATTTGTTGGAAGTCAGATAACTACTAACCAACCATTTTTCCTTAAAAGTATCTTTTCTATCTATGTTTTGTTTTATTTAACCGCGCGAAGCGCAGATAAGTTCACTAGTTATTGAAATAAGAAAGGCATCCTAGAACCAGAAATTGCAAAAACTAGTGCTTCCATTTTCATTTGAATGTTCTTGTATATCCTACAATGTTGTGTCCTAACTTATCAATAACATTGAATGGATTCAGACCTCACTTTGTTTTATTCCTTTCGGTTTTACGTAAGCACTAAATTACAAAATGGTGTATCACCTCATTCCTCTGCAATAAAAATCTGCAATTGTTAATCTTAGAGCAGACTATGCATGCAATTGCAAATATGAAACATTGCCAGACAGGATAATATACCATTAAGTTTCGTCTTCAAAACATTGATAAAATACATGGTATAAGATTTACCTTACTTGCTTTTGATCTAGCAATTTCGCAAATGTGCAGTCATCCTTGCCAAATTGCACTTTGTGAAGGAAAGTTAAGTGATTCAATCACAATGCATGACAATAATTTCTAGCACTAAAAACGTCTTCAATGAATAAGATTGAATAGAAAACTAATATAAAAAGGGGAAAATTGTATATAATAGCAAACTATTAATTCGCATTAAATGCTATAAATATAGTTTGATTTAATTGTACCTCATAGCAAACTGTTGCTATTTCACCTCTCTCCTCGTGAATCTCGCTCGCCACTCTCGTTCTCTCCCTCGCCTCTCTCATTTTTTATACAAACGCAAGTGTATAAAGTGCGTTTGTGTTTGTATAAAGCAAGAGAAAATTGTGTATATACATATATTTTCGTTCCCCTCTCTCCCCTCTCCCAGATCTCGCTCGCCACTCTCCCAGATCTCGCTCTCTCACTCGCCTCTCTCACTTTATACAAAAAACGCAAATTGTATAAAATGCGTTTGTGTTTGTATAAAGTGAGAGATAATTGTATATATACATATATTTTCATTCCCCTCTCCCAGATCTCGCTCTCTCACTCGCCTCTCTCACTTTATACAAAAACGCAAATGTATAAAATGCGTGAAAATTGTATATATACATATATTTTCGTTCCCCTCTCTCCCCTCTCCCAGATCTCGCTCGCTCACTCACTTCTCTCGCTTTATACAATTGATCTTTGTGTATATGTATACCAAAGCAGATTATACAACTGTTTTTTTTTGTATATGTATAGCGAATTATACATATATATGTTGCTATGGAGCGCAATTATGCAAACTTTGCTATAACATACAAATATGAATTTTGTGTTTGCTATATTTGCAAGTTGCTGTATAAAAATTGTGATTATCTTAAGAAAACAAAAATTTCTTCAGGAGCATTTTCTAAAAGAACTAACATGTGCTACATACTAATTTAGTTAGTCCAACAGCTACAAAAGAAATCATCCAACATCTTGCATGTTTAGAGGAGAAATGTGGCGCATTCCTATTTTTAAAAAGATAAACCCCATTTTTGCACTCTACAGACATAACTTTATAAATTTCATATCTTGTTCAACTGTTCAAGTACCTTAAAAATCTAAAAGTAACTGAGGAAGTATCCTCTCTAGATGAGTTGCTTCGATTTTGACACTGCCCTCAGCTTCAGCAATAGTAGCAGCACGTTGTATAGCTTCTACATCAAGGAAACAGATCTCAAAAATAAAAAGAATGCAGGGGAAAGTTTAACCAAGTAAATAACATAATTTTTCTTCATTGATGGTCAAACCTGCTACAAAGACTCGGAGGAGTTCAGAGCTCAGCTTCAGTGCATTTGCATTGGCTTTTATCATCAACACAGAAACACACACATGAGACGGATAACTCATTGTCCGAGGAACGTACGTATTCCACTTTCAGCTAATATATAACAAACCAGAGGTCCAACACATACAAGAAAATGTAAATACCAGTATAAGAAGCAGTTACTAAAGGTGGGCTAAATGTAGTTCTTGTTAAAGGTTAGATATGTCATTGTTATCAAGAAGGTAATACACAGAAAAGCTTGCTTGCCACAACCCACATTGCTAGTACATCTAAAGCCATTACAAGAAATGAGAAATGGCAAAACAAAACAGAAATTAAACCTTCTTCGTTGTCTTCCCTTTACTTTCGAGTTATGCTACCTTACTTGTCATGAAGAGACTAACAATGGTACAATAAAATAGAAAAAAAGGGAGAAGTATATTAGTTTACTTTTCTGATTGATAAAAGCACAAAGAAATATCTTGCTCAGAAATCCTTGCAACTTGCCATGAGTGACATTTAAACTGAATCTTCCTCTAGTAAAAATTTGGGGAATATCCTAACTGGATCCTAGAACAAATGTACTAATTCTTTTCACTAATGTTTAAGTTCGTCTACACCAGGTTACAAGTAAGAGAAATTTGAATTTTAGACTGAGAATGTCTCCGTGATACATAAAATAAAGCAAACACGACCTTCACGGAAAGCAATAATGCAATCTTTTTGTCTTTCTCTTTACCCTTTTGTTAGGGTAAAAGAACTAAGAGTGTACATTTGCTGTGCAGCGATGACCTGGGTTGTAGAATTGGAATTAATCTTGTTATAACTTTATTCATGTGCTCTCTATTTACCATTGCACATCTATTAAGCACCTGCCCTATCTTTATCATGTCTTACGCCTTTCTTAAGATATGTAATTGGCTTCTGTAATTCCATTATGGGCTACCTTGAAGGGGATGTTCCTAAATAAGTTAATTGAATTCTTTTACGTTCTAATTTGTTTATTTCCAAAATATTTAGATAGATCATGCCTTAATCCACATTTTAAAAATCCAAAATAAACCTAAAAGCAATCTCACTTAAAAAGTCTAAAACCTCCGGAGTGTATTTAACCAATTGAAGCAATATCCAAATTCGAAACCATGATTCTAAAAGTAATCAGAAAGACATGCTAATATTCAACACAGTTAGCATACTTGAGCTGAAAACAAATGTATTAGCCGAGTTCTTACCAAAAGTAGGCCGAATTCTCTTTGATGAGCTAGCCCCAACCTACAAACACATTTACAAAATGCTTTCAAGCTCAACAACACACACAATAATTCCAACAAAGTTCGCAAACTCAAGCAAAACAATTGAAAAAGTATCAAAAACAACAAATAAATAATGTTAAAATGAAAGGATTGATGAATTCTGCTTACCTCGTTCTCTATATTCTCAGATAATTCATTTTTCCCACGTTCTGCGAAAATTATCAAATACGTAACGAGAAAATGAAACCAATAAAATTCAATTGAAGAAGAAAAAGTGAAATTGAACCTGCAGCTTTTCTTTTCCAAACAAGCTTGAAAATTTCGTGAACCAAATCCTGTTTAAAGCCAAACAAAGTAGTTCTAGATTTTCAGATCAACTACTTTCGTCAGAGAACAAATTCATGGAAACTGAATAGCTAAGTAGAAGGAATGATTACAGGATCGAAGGTGTTCTCCTTCTCCATTGAATTGCTCGCTCATTCAAATGAACAATGAATCGCAACAAAACTAAAAATAGGGCAAAAACAAAAAAGATTCTCAGTGGACAAAACAATATGAAAGCAGCTATATAGCACCAGGAAGCCCTTATAGCTCAGTGGTAGAGCGTCAGTCTTGTAAACTGAAGGTCCGCAGTTCGATCCTGCGTGAGGGCAATTACTTTTGTTTTTATGAATTTTATCTTTTTTATTTATTCAAATTAGACCCATAGAGATTACATTTCTTTTGGGCTGGGGCAAGTGAGCTTTCTAGAATCGAGGAAATGACATATATATATAGTTATAATTAGCAATAAATAGCCCAACATTAATTAGCATTTAATAGACAAATAAAAAAATAAGCACAAAATGGCCCAAATTAATAAATGACATTTTAATAGTTTTTTTTTGTTTTCCTCGTATAACCAATATCACTAAACAACAAAAACAACGAAAACATAAAAATTATATACAATACGTAACCGCCTAAAAACGTAAATTATGTATTTTCATATATTTTTTTGTTCGTTACTTGATTAAAAAAAATCAATTGTATACTTGATGATTGTATATAGGTAGAAGAATGGTGTATTCATTCACTTAGTATTAGTATACATGTATAGCTATGTTATCCCCTCTAGTGTGTGTATATTAAAAAATCGAACACTTTATGTATTCATTCACTTATCCTATGTATACACTGCATTGAAGATTTTGTTTTAATCATGAACATCATGTATGCATTGCATTCATGTATACATATATGTGTATTCATTCTCTCAAAATTTGTATACATTCCAAATTCTTTCTTCAGTAAATGAGAATTGCACGTGGAATATAAAAATGCTCAATAGCAAACACACAAGTCGAATCGGATAACGAGAAGAACTTACATGGCTTTAAATTTTAGAGTTATGGATGGAGAATCCACAAAATTAGAATTAGAATCCACAAAATTAGAATTAGAATCCCCATTTTTATGAATAATCCTAGGATAACTTTCTTAAACATGACAATTGATACCCACAATTAATTACTATTACGTAAATTTTTACCTAAATTAGAAATAACTTTCAATTTCAAAAATTAAAACCCCAAAAAAAATTGAACGACAATACAAGAGGGGATCAAACATAGGCTAACAATTAGAGAAATTGACGGGTAGACATCAACAAACCCAAGAATTTAAAAGCGAAAGAGAAAAAAATACACTATGGACGAATATTTTTATAGAATTCAATATGTAAAACTAATAAACAAGAAAGTAAATCATCTTTTATTCAAAGTAATGAAGAAGAAGAATTGAATAAATATTTACATAATCAATAAAAAAACATCATTCAAAAGAATCGTGTGTGTATGGGAAAGAAGAGAAAAAAAAGCCAGAAAAAAACCACTTCCCAATAAAAAAGGACATCATGCTGCCATATCCTAAAATTATTTAATTTAATTAAAAAAAAAACTTCCCAACACGTGGGCTACTAATTGCAAAATTTAATTTTTAAAAACCTTTTTTTGTTAAGAAAATAAAAGATGGCTATATATTGCCAATTAGTAAAATGGGATGTCATGTTGTGCCATTTTTTCTAGCGAATTTAGGGGCATCATTTAAGTAATGGCCAATTATAGAGGCACCATTTATAAATTTAGCCAGTTCAGAATCAAACCTAAATACTAGTAACAAGTAACAAAGACATACACAACTTTGAGCTACTTATTCGACATACATCCATATCATATATATTAATTTTATATTTTAAATAATTATGTATCTTATCACTAATTAAGAGCTTACTATCGTATAAGATACACCTAGATATATTTATTTTTTATACCAAAGACACTAAAATAGGGAGAGAGGCGAACGAGATAGAAATGTAGCTCAAATACATGCAAATGACATCAAATACATACAGACGCGCGAGCAAGATGGGAGAGAGGTGAATGAGATAGACATGTATCTCAGATACATGCGAATCACACTAGATACACATTAGATACATGTATCTGGTGTGATTCACATGTATCTGATATAATAGATACATAGGAGAGTGGGGTGGGAGGCAAGCGAGATTTGTCTATATATTCCAAATACAAGTGAATCCATTTGGATATACAATGTATCTAGAACAAGTTGCATCTAATTTTGACTTCATGTATTCCAAGATACATGTATTTGAACGTATCTAGACGCACCAAAATCTAGTAAGATTCATAATATTACAAATTTGAGTTTACGTATCTAACTAATTAGCTCCTAATTAAACTAGTGGAATTTTATAAGCTCCCCTCAATTTTAACGTTTTAATTTGTTGCCTCCTTTCTGTGAATACCAACAATGACACTAATTTGCTCAAAGTCTAGCTAATCCACTCGACTAACATCAAAGTTCAAAAGCAATAATTAAAGATGGTGTATTCTTCAGAAAACAACCTTAAATTTATATACCCTCATCTCTTAACGCTAAAAACTAAAATCCCATTGAGAGCATTTTGTTGTTGTTGTGATGACTACACAAATTTTGTATTAAAAAAATAGGCAACAAAATGTTAGAATTAACGGGGATCAATTTTTTAGTCCATTACAGATCATTTTCTTTTAGCTATATGGCTATTGGCGTTTGACCACGAAAATCAAAAGAAATATTCATTTTATTTTGAATTTTCAAAGTTGAAATTAGAGTTGGAGTTTTGTTTACCATAATTTTTAGTAAGAATATTTGAAATTTGAATGTATTAGATCTTTTGGATATGATTTATACCTCACAATATATAAAAACTAACAAAATCACCCAACTCAACTGATTTAACTCAAATATATAATCAAATTTGTTCTAAAAGAGTAATTATCTCAAAATTAGATAGTCACATAGTGTCATAGATTAGATCCCATATATATACGAGCTACTACGCACACATCATTACAAACATTTTTTCACTTTATAATTTGAATTTTTTGAAGATTGAAGTTGTGGTATTGTTTTTGTAAATAATAATTGATTGTTTGAATATACTATTCATAAAAAAATATAAAATATGATTCAAACATAAAGCACAATTTAATGTGGTTATTTTTATAAGAATAGAATATTTAGGACAAATTTGAAAAAGAAAAATATAATAAAAGTGAAAACAAAATTTTGAGTGCTTTCCACATTTCAAATGCAACTTCTAGTTATATTTGACATGAAAAATTCTCATGAAAAAAAGTAACACATAGAATGAAATTGAGATCTTAAAAAAGCCATTTTTTCCATCTTTAAATTATAATTGATTATAGGAGATCATTTCATCGAAGTAATGAAACTTGCTCTTATCGATCTTTGGGAAGCACAATAAGATGTATTGGAACTCATTTAAACAATTAAGAAAAATGATGTTATTATTATTTATTTATACATACATATGTCAGTTCACCAAACAAGTAATTTGGACAAATCATATATACTCCAATCTTGGTCCTTGTATTTCTGACATAGATTTACTATAACAGATGCAAACGATGGGTTATATTATGCTAAAATTAATGCTGTATCAAGCAGTGGATAAGTTATTATAGTAATAAACTGTAAAAATGTCATCAATTAATCCAAAAGGAATTTTTCGGTAACAGATACATAAATAATTAGAAAATGTGATGATCCAACATTTCTAGTGTGCTTAAATATCTTCACACATTAAAAATGACAAACAAATAAGTACAAAAGGAAAGAAACGAAAAAAATAATATATATATATATATATATATATATATATTAACGTGAGGACCACTTATCATAGGGACCCTTCGGTTGATGGTTAGGAAGTGAATTAATGAGTATTATATTTGGTAACATTTTAGTTATTACGTAAAAATGAAATTCTAACCATCATGATAAGTATATATTGTGAATAACCAGTTTACAATTCTCAAATAACTAACATGCAAAAGTTATATATGACAGAACCTATATATAATTTCTATAGGCGATAGAAGATGAAATAACTAATTTTTGCATCACTAATATTTGTATAGTTCTAACTAATAACTAAATAGCAAATGATCCGTTAATTCCCAACCATACGTAAGCACTTACGCAAATATGATTATTAGAGATATGGACACAAATAAAGCTTGCTGATTAACCCAAACCAAACCACTTTTTAATAGAATTAATTAAGTTAAGGGTTTGTGTTATTCCTTGTTATACTGGATTTATTAAATATGGATATATGTAGTTAATTAATAAAATTTAACAATTTCTCCCACTTAATTGGAATTTGTGTTGTTAAAAAATTGGGTGGCTGACATATGCTCACCTTTCCAAACAGCTCTTTTCCATTTTTTATACTCTAATAATTATTTCTTAATTATAGTATTAATTAAGAGCGGAAATAAGTAGGAAACTCCAACAAAACCTTCACGGGTAGCTCTAGGGTTTGTCGGTTAATTATAAGCTCCTCTAGATAATTATCATGGTTAACTAGCTAGAGATCTAGATTTATAATTATAATTAATCTTGATAAATATATAGATCAACATCAATCTTTTTCTCTTATCCTCTCTCAATGCCCAGCATGTGATTTTAATTCCTTAATAATGATAGTAAACAACTAGATGTACAGATGTTGATCTAGATAATTTATTTTAATTAGCAAATCTCATGAGCTAGCTAGGCATGAACATTAGCACAATTTGGTCATTAAGAGCCAAATAGCTCCATCTTTATTTGTTTTATTTTATCGTATGTTTTGGTTTAATTGGGATATGCACCAAGTTTTAAGAGTATAAAGATTTATTAATCGGGTAATTTTAAGCTATATCTATATATATAGTATATTAAAAGTACTTTTTGTGTTTTTTATTTTAATTATGTCATGGCAACATTCAGATAAGAGTCATCTCACGAAAGGTAAAATGAGGATATTTTTCATAAGAATACAACAGAAATATTAGAGTGTTACGTTAAATATAAAAAAATGATATTCTCTTTTAATTAAAAATATTAAAATGAAAAGATATTTATATACATCGAAAAACAGAGGAAGTACTATTTTTAAA